CGGGGTGGACAGGGCGGCTTTGGCGTACTGTCCGCTTTTGACGCTTTTGGTCTGAACGTACAGTAAGTAGCAAGGCTAAGTCCCCACTCCCCCACCAAAGTTTTTTTATTTTTATGGTTTAAAATTTTTAAATGTTTGGGTATGTTTGTAACATAAACAAAGCAGATGGAAATATTACTTCTTTTGTTTTACTGCTTTATACTTGAATTGTTGTCTACTCGAGAAAATGGCACCGTGGCTTCTCTGCTGTGGTGTCAGTCTACACTGTGTGTGTGTGTGTGTGTGTGTGGAGCTGAGCCCTGCCCATGGTTCAGACTTTCAGGTCTGAAAATTGGCATCATTTATTTCAGTTGCTGGTGCAGAGCTGTTGTGTTTTCTTTGTGCAAAGACATTGTTGCTGTATTTTTAATATAGCTGACAGAAAGATGCTTTGGTGAGAACAAAAATGAAAACGACTTGTCACATAACCACAAAACAGGTGGCAAAAACAAAATAAACTATATTTAAACAAATAAACCTTTATCTATAAAATGATAACAGTATCAGTGTTTGAGCCAAGCCCGCAGGAAGAGCGCCAGGCTTTGAAGCCAATTTCACATAGTAGCCAAACCATGTAATTACAGCAGTGGTGTCCATAATGTGATGCACACTGGCCCAAAAAGATGTTTTCCCATAAGGTTACAATGTGAAAGAAGTGGCTGTAAAACGGTGGATACGTTTTTTACACAATCAGAATTTGATCCATTCAGTTCAATAACATTCAACAAATAAATCATTTTACCCCCATTCAAGTTAATGGAGGGCCAGCGGAAGTCTCTAGTGCCCATGTGCCGTTGTGGCCCACCTGCACAGATTATGCAGGACCGTGACACATTTTAAAGGACCAGTGTGTAGGATTTAGTAGCTTCTAGTGGTGAAATTTTGCAACTAACTGAACACCGCTTGCGTCTAAATTTGACAACCTGGGAATGAGAATGGGCTGAAAAGAAAGAAAATCATGAAAGGCCGTATCTACAGCCAGTGTTTGGTTTGTCCCTTCTGGGCTGCTGTAGAAACATGGCGGACTCCGTGGAAGACAATCCGCAGCATCTGTAGAAAAAAAGGTGATTAAATGAACACCTACCTATGGACACTGGACCTTCAAAGAAAATGTATACAGCAAAATGAAAGAAAAATCTGATTCGACCAGTAAATCAGAATTGAGTGCTAAGGATTGTAGTGTGAAAATATTATATGTTTTGTATACACTTATTGTAGTGTATTACAGTAAAGTGGAGCGATCAACACCCATTTACTTCACCAGGACTGTAACACTGACATTTATTTTAATCAATATTTTACTTGAAATCAACCTTGAAGAACTTAATAATTCATATATATCTGAATGATGAATTTATTTAGTTGATAATCAGTGATAATAGTTGCGATACTGAAAGTACATTTTTCATTATACTAACCAATAAAAGAATACCCAATTGATTACATTAACTACACATATTAAATATAACAGGATAATACAATTTCCAGAAATTTAGTTTAGTTGCTAGTACGTGGGATGTGTTGACTGAAACTATTTTAAACAATTTATGAAAATTTGATATTAGAAAATAAAGAAAAAAACATTTATAGCTGAATAACCAAATGTGACATTTATGAAGCATAGAACCAACAATTGTATACTCAAACAGGGATTAAATTAACGTTTTTACACAAGAATTGAAATAAAAAAAGGAATAAAAGCCTGTCAGTAGGTCCTATTATAATTTTTAATTCCTTTGCAGCAAATATCTCAATCACAGTAATTAATATTCACATCTTCCTGTGGATCATTTCATTGTGCCCTCTTCTCTCCGTGCTGAGCTCAGATTCTGTGTCTTTCTGATCACAGAGAACTGTCTAATAATACAGTGATGAACCTTGAACTCAGGTGATTTGTGTGCAGAGGCAGAGAGATGATGTGATGCTTATTGTGATGCAAAAATGTGTTTCTAGCCGCATCCTGATGTAAGTGGAAGGATGTGATTCATGGACATCACCCTGCACGTGTGTATAATGCAGAAACCTCATTAGCATAGCTATTGGTGTGGCATTGATCTCTTCATTCACCTCTAATGAAATGTCTCTCTAATAGCTTCTCATGAGATGCTGAAGGTAATTTAAGTCGTTTCACTCCTCTTTCTTTCACCCTGGAGTTCTTTTTCCTCTGTTTGTTTTTGAAACAAATAAGTGACACTTCTTTCTTTTTATTTTACATCTTTCCATCCCAGTGAATAAAGGCTAAATCATTTACTAAAGCAATATCTAAGAAACAAACATAAGTGCCAGTAAAAACTCCTTTAGTAAAACAATAAAACATCCTTATTTGTATTTTATCCCCCCTTATATTGAGGCCTGTAGTGTCTTTGGCTGCAGGGAAATGGAGTTGCAGTGTTACACAACCGGGGTGATGCCACATCTCTTGATCACATCTCAGATTACAAACCAGCACTAAATCTGTGGTGGGTTTGACCGCCACTGACAGCCTGACGCACTGCTGCCAAACAGTCCCACCGGAACCACCGAGTTATTTATTTATTCACCGCCACATGTCCCATTCATAGCGACTGTTATCTCCGCTTCCATCGTGCGCGTCCACTCATCTCCATAAACTCTCCTCTGCGTAATTATCCAGTCCAGATGTCCGAAAAGTGTGCCGCAAATTGTCTCCGAACGATTGAAACTGCGCAATAATTGAATAATAGCTGATTAGAGAGGATTAAGGTTTGTGGAAACAGGGGGAATACGAGAGTATTTTCACTTCATTTCACAATTGAGTGGGTTTGAATTTGAGCTGCAGGTTCATACTGTGATAAATGAGTGCGGAGGGAGAAGCTGCGGATGATTTCCCCTGACATCCCAAATGTCTTCGCTTTTACTTTCAAAATCGGATTTATGCGCAGAAACATTGTGCAACGCTTTCACACGGTGTCACAGCTTTTTGAGTTTGATATCAGACCTCAAACAACAACAACAACAAAAAAAAGGACCTCAGGAGGTAAATAAATCTGTTGTATTGCACTCTGTTTGTCTCGTATTTAATTGCCACCCCGGTGTGCCCTAAATACCCTGAACTGGGATATTGTATTGTATTCTTCCTCATGCGACCCGTCAGATAATACAAAAAACGCGTAATAACCAATCAACAGATGAGCAGACTGCCACCAAAGACAAAACCTTTATAGTGCGCAAACCTAATTAGAATAATGCAAATGAGTGTGGGTTATATGGGACGTTAGGGCTCCAGTCTGGTAACGGATCAATCAGTTTGTTGTCTCTAATAAGAAGCTGAATTGATTAATTAACTGATTGAGAAATTGGCTCATGTGGGTTTATGAGTGTTTCTTTTAATTTGACCAAAGGAAATCTTTTTTAACGGTTTAGCCTTAATTGTTGTAGGCATGTTGGAGAATATGAAAACAGGCCTTCAGAAAAACTGAGTTACTGAACTGCACTGAGGTGTAATCAGATTACTCGTATTTTTAACCACATGCTGCCTTTTACTGTCATAATAGAGACATTTTGTGGTGACGCTATTTTTAAGGGCAGAAATAATAAATGAAACTGCTTATTTTTTCTTTTTTTTCCTTATATATATATTTCTTTTTAATGTCTTTTTAATAGTTATATATATATAAGTATAAAAAACAACTTTATTTTCATAAAATAAGTAGTTTTCATATTAAAATGGGTTTACACTTACATCATTGTAATTATATAGGATAAATAGGCTTAAATAGGCTACAGTATTAACCTTTAGAGGACAGCAGCTTTAGGGAGATTCAATTTGAGTTTTATCTCCAGACTATTTTTTGGTTCTTCCCTACTAAATTTCAACCTCAATGAGAATAAACGAGCTGCAAATTGAGCTGATTTTCTTCTACTTGAGGGATTTATCCGGTTGATTGGATCAAATGATCAGCCACAGAAACAGGAAGAGTTACAGTGAAAGTGCTTCTTAAAAAAAATTACTTTAAAAGCACTCTCACCTCATTTGACCCAAACAGTCAGTAAAGTTCTCCTCCAGTGATATGAACTGTAATATTAATGTGAGTTTCTCAAAGTGAAGATCACTATAAACTAATAGTGGTCACCAGCTGGAAGTGATGATGCCACTTACAGACAATCCACCCACATCTTCAGCAATTTCTTGGCAAAGTGCAAATATTCCAGTTATTCTGTCACATTTAATTGCCATTAATGATGTAATCCACTAGAATAAAGCTCCACGGAGCTGATGCAAACTTCAGTGTGGAATGTCTCCCCTCTTGTGATTGGCTGCCGCCTGTTGCCTGCTGGATAAAAAGCGCAGCAGAGAGGCGGGCTGGGAGATAAAGAAGGAGCATCACAGAGCTCATTGCACCAGGGACTCTGGCTTTTTGTTGTTGGAGGGAGTAGAAAACAAAAAAAGTGGAACCACATCGCCATGACAGGGAAGGAGGGAGTTGTGCTTTCAGACACTGAGAATAAGCAGAAATCAGCCTCACAAACCAGCGTGAACCACGGGGGGTCCCAGCAGCCGCCTCCAGTCTGGAAGATGGCCCCCACGGTGCACCGGCGCACCGGCTTCGGGATCCAGGAGCTGCTCGGCCTCAACAAGGAGCCGCCGGCGGCACCGAGGCGGCCGCTGGAGACTCTGCCGCACAGGGCGCACATCCTGGCCGCCAGGTCGGCCCTCGGACACGGAGGTCTCGGGGTCGGTATGGGTTTGCTGGGACCAGAGGGAATACACTCGTTTTACAGCCAACCTGCCTTCCTGGAGGTGCTGTCAGAGGCGCAAAATGTGCACCTGCAGCCGCTGCACAGAGCGGCGCACATGGACTCACAGAGGGACGCGCAGCACTCCGCCAGCTCCGGTGAGTGTTTGAACTCTGGAAACGTGAACTGAGATGAGAAGAATTGTTGAATGTTTCACATTATATTGTAATAACATTTATACAGATTTCTAGCTCGTGTAGGCCTATTTACTGTGAACGAGCAAAAATGAGTGGACGGCCGAAATGTGTTGCACAAAATGACACAGATATAACAAATTAGTGTCGCGGCCTGTGGTCGAATAATAATGATGTTAGAGACTGAAAGTTTAATGGATTTGGAAGAAATGGTGTTAGAATATTGTTTTCTTTTTAAATGCAACTATAAGCTTTTTTTCCAAAACGGGGAAAATATTGTAGAAAATGTGCCGAGGCCTTACTAAAATGTATTTTTCACACTTAATTGAGTCAGTTTTATAAATAAGTTTTTATCATATTTTCTTTCATTTGGGAGAAATGCGCTGAATTAATACGCAGAAATTACCAGGAAACATTTTACAATTAGAAAACGGACATTTGGTTTTGAAAAGTAGAAATAACATTTTCTACCATTTTACACCGATAGCCTATAAATTATATATACATGTATTATTATTATTATTATTATTATTATTGTTGTTGTTATTAATTGCAGTGTTCACTGTGTTTCCTTACAGACTCTGATGATGTGAGTCTTTCGTCCGGCGATCAAAAGTTCTCAAAATCCTCCATGAACCAGAGCAAGAAGAGAAAGAAAAGACGACACAGGTAAAAGAAAAACTAAACAAATGGAAGAATAGATTATTGAATAATTTGGTTGTTTTTTATTTTCCGTGTGGCATTTATTAGGGATTTATATGGAAGCTATTACCAATGTGGGCTGCTTTCGTTTGGTGTCATCAGTGATAAAACCCCAAAGCAAAAATCATTATTTAATTCGATGAAATAACAACTGTGTTTGATGCTTTTATATATATATATATATATATATATATATAAATGTAATCATCCTAGATTTTTTTTACAGAAATAGACCATCGTGATTTTCTCTGTGCTGTCTTTGAACTTCATTGTTTCTATAGCCTATTTTTCGTTAAGAATAATTACAATTGTGTTTCATGTTTCATTTTTCTTTCTGTATTCCTTAAAGAAAGCATAGTAAATTTTTTTGACAGTCCTATTTCTTAATTTATTGCTAATTCTAAAAAATATTTTTCCATTTTACAAGATCTTGGATTTGAGTGCTAAGAATGAAATTCGTTTTTTTTCTCTATTTTAGTAAATTTCAGTTTTAGCCTGATTTAAATAACATGAAAATATGAAATGCATTAATGAAGAAATTCAAATTATAAATGAGTGTTTATTCTCTCTTGTTTTGTCTGCAGAACCATTTTCACTTCCTATCAGCTGGAGGAGCTGGAGAAAGCTTTTAATGAAGCTCACTATCCAGACGTATACGCCCGAGAAATGCTCTCCATGAAGACCGAGCTACCAGAGGACAGAATACAGGTGTGTTACTGTGTGTTTGTCTGTACAGGATGTAGACATGTAGTGCATGAATACTGTTATTACCTTTCATTTCAAATCCTTAAGATATAATCATTTTGGGGGGAAAAACACACAAAAAAACCTTTTAAAAAGTGTGTATTCAGTCAAATAATTAGGATATTCCTGCAATGGAAGCTTCTTTAACATTGAAGTTAGAATTATTTGTAGTCAATACCAGAAAGGAAGGTGATGAAGGTGCATATAAAAAGAGAATAAACAAGGAAATACTCAGACAGACAGAGAGGCAGAGCCCCAGTGAGCTGCTCCATCGTCATCCTCACAAAGCCTTCTGCTTTCACATTAGCAGCCAATTCACCCTCTCAGTGTAATTAGTTAATTGAGGAGAACTTATCACCTCTTTCCCTGCGAGAGACGGGCCGCAGCCCTGAAATGAAATGATAACTACATAGAAATTAATTAGCGCAGGTCAGCTGCTGAGCAGAGGCCTCTGCCTGGCTGCTATGAGCATTTTAATTTCCCGTGATATTTGAGCGCCTGTCTCCCATCGATCGGGCCTGGAAATTAACTTATTTTTCAATCAGCCTCTTCGCCCCCGAGGTCACCTCTCTCAGGAAACACTTGACACACACACACGCTGTTGTGCACACTCACACCGTCGCTGTCAAAAAGCATGATTGCTCATCTGAGGCCCATCTTTTTATGAGATGGAGGTTATCATCAGATCTACCTGAATAGCTTTGCGGGCTCGGCTTTGATCGTTTTTAATTCCAGGTCTGCGAAACACACACACACATGCACGCACACACACACGCACACGCCATTCCCTACAATCTCATCGCGCCTCCTCGGCCATTTTAGGATGCTCATTTTTTCTCTGTTTTCCTCATCCATATTCACAAACCTGCTGAGGCTATTACAGGGTCTGGCTTGGTGGAAATCAATTTAGGC